TGCATTGCAGCTAACATTCATGATTTAAAGGAAGTCAAAGTGACTCTTCGGGTGATAGGTAAAAGATTCGTATGTACAACTGTCTTTCGTAAATTAATGACAAGTTTCGCTTTATGTAAGAGAAAATCCATGACAGTCTTGAATCCTGGATTCCACACCGTGGAATCTGGATTCCAGGTACTGGATTTGAGATTCTTTCTAAATGAAAGTTGCAGTCCGGATTCAAATCGTTAGAAGGATTCCGGATTTCTTGAGCTGTACTCCGGATTCCAAAGCCCCGGATTGCCGATTCTACAACTCAAATTTCCCGGATTACGAATTCCACAGCAGAAATTTCCCGGATTCTGGAATCCGGATTTCTGTATGTTGGACGGCAAGTCGCTTGAAAGGGTTATGTCACCTCTGTTGCTATCTTTTTATCACGTGTCTTCGTGTCAGTGGAATTTCAAAACTAATGGTACAGTGTAATGAGGGTCATTGAGGCATTGAAACTGTTTCCTGTCGTCTGTTGCTACAGATGGCAGGGATAGACATGGATTAAAACTTGGCGAGTTTTGTCAAGTTTTAAATGCTATGCCTTCAAATAAAGTTAATCACCACAAATAAGTTGTGTTTAGTGCTCCCTGAGGAAATTTGTTTGATATCCCCTTCATATCTCTGCAAGAGCATTTTATGTATCGGTGAATGCACTAAGTAATGACTTCAGCACAGGACCGACCTAAAATAGCAATATCTTCGTGTTCCACCCACCTCTCCCCAAAGCCAACATTGTGCCCTAAGTGAGACGTGAGTGTTAATGTTGACTTAGGGGGGGGGGGTAGGTGAACAGTTTCCCAGAAACCTACATTGATCCGATACTCCTACTGCCCTTTGATATTTATAAACAGATGCCGTAAACCCTCTACTAAGCTCCCACCCCCCTTTCCCACCTTTTACCGGGCAAGGTGTTTATAAGGCCCTCCTTCTTCTTACCCCCCCCCCCCTTCCCACCCTTTTCAGGGAAAGAGTGTTATAAGGCCCCTCTCTCTCTTAAGCTCCCTCTGTCCTCCCCCTTTATTCTTAAGTGAAAGACTGTATTAATTTTTTCATTACGACTGCACCACTTCACGCGGGATGATCCAGCATGATTTATTCACGTGCTGTCATTTACGTGTGTCCTTAGAGTATTTCGTGATTTCTGAACCGATTAAAACGATTAGCGATATATTTTCTTTCCTTACAGAAAGTGACGTCATAAAAATAAACCCTTCCCATAAGCGCACTGTAGAAGCATTCCTGGGCGCACGCCGAAAAATCACGTGCGATTTCCATGGCAGCCCGCCGATCACAGTCACGTGGACAAAGAAAGGCACAGATGAACTGCCATTCAGAGTGGAGCAGAATGGGAATTCATTGGTGATAAAGAGGGTCGAGCTTTCAGATGCTGGCCAGTATATCTGTAATGGATCGAATGCTTTTAGCTCACAGGCCACTTATGTTAACGTGTCTGTTTATGGTAAGTGAAGTGAATAGCCTGCGAGCAAGCTCTCCTATTTCGACGGCGTACGTTCTCGCGAGACTCACTTCGCTCGCCAAAATAGGAGAGCTTGCTGGCAGGCTATGAAGTGAAAAGCGTAGGTATCAATAATAGACCAATTCCTATATATTAAAATTTATACTTGGCTGCAAGGCTTGGGGGAATAAAACAAAAGAAAAATTAATCATCTTGAGGCTCAGCAATGAATAATACATTTCTTTTGGTTTATTCCTCCAAGCCTCGGAGCCAAGTATGAATTTTAATATATCCAAAATGGTCTATTAATTTAGCTTTTCCTGAGCACAAAACAAAGAGGCAATGAAAGATGATCGAGCCCATTATAGTTAGGAGAGGAGACTGGGTATGAAAGCCGCAAACATCCAAAATTAACCGAACGACGGTGCTGCAGGTTAAATTGTAACTGAAGAATTTAATGCGACGTTTTTTATTGGTCAGAAATTTCAAAATGATAGGAATGTTATTGAACGTTGTGCACGATCAGGTCCAAAAAAGGTAACTAAAATATATAAGAAAGAAGTCTAACGGGATTCATAACTATTGTACTTTATTTACTGTGAGCCGATTATATTATATCTGTGCGCGCTCAGGGCTAGAATAGATCACTGGATATGGAATGATTCACTAAATTGTTATTTAGTGTTAGTCATTTGCCAATGAAAATAATTATGTTTAAATTATTTAATTGCTGCAACTAAAGAATCTGGAGAGATGTCGTGAAGATCTTTAGAAATCATGATCATTAACAGGGGTACCAACAGAGGGTACTTGAATATTGAAAATATCATCATATGAATGTGTTCTTAACAGATCCGTTGAGGTTCCTGATAGAGCCAAGAAACCAGACCGCTTTCATTAATGAATCTGTCTGGTTCCACTGTGCTGCCACAGGAAGCCCAAAACCTAAAATTACGTGGCTTAAGGCTGACCAAGGAGGCCGACCCTTGAACGAAGAGAAATACAGAGCGTACGCTAATGGATCTCTACGTATCAAGGATGTACAATACAGTGACATGGGGCGATATTTTTGTCTTGTGGCGACTCGTACTGATTTGAGACAAAGGACAGTGCATCTCGAAGTAAAAGGTAGAGTCATATGTTCGATCAATTGAGGTTTTCGGGTAACCGACCACCTACCCCTTCCCTGAGTCACAATTTGCTCTATTTACATTGAGAACGAAGTGTCAATGTTGACTTAGGGGAACTTAGGGGAGGAGTGGCTGCGAGTCAGTTACCTTGAAACCTCAACTGATCCATTTTTTCAGCTGTTCGCTGCCACGCTCACCCGAATTTAACTTTTTATCCCTCAGAATAGAAAGTAGAAGTCGTTACGTAACACTTCCATGGTAGCAAAGTTTCTGGATCTCAAGAAACCGTGGTCCTTTAAATATGACAAAAAAATGGGGAAAATTGACATGTATGGCCTTTAAGTGCAGGATTGCACTCAGGAACAAAACGACAGCCGATCGTTCGACAAAGCAAATGGTCGTCTCTTTCAAGAAAGATCGATAAGATCCAGACATTTTGCTACCATGGTAACCTGACGTCACACTTTTTTTGCCTATTAGTCGTCAAATTCTAACTGTCAGTTGATATAAAGTAGGTTTATTACCTTCTTATTGGTCTGCATGAGATTCAAAGAATTATTTGATAGCAAACCCTCTAATAAACTTGTAATTAAAGTAGAGTGTCTGTTGGGGAAAAAAATGAAGAAAGCACCGATTGCACCGAACGTCTCTTCAATCTTTCGTTGGATATTGTTCACTGTCTTGCAAGAACTACTGCCTTTATCAAAGCCATAGTGTACCTTATTTTTACTACACTTCAAAGCTATTTCGTTAACGGAGTTTTTATCCAATTTGCTTTTATCTTCAGGAAAAGAAGACGAAACAAGACAAAATCCTTCGGGGCCAGATTTGGAAGCTTCCTCAAATTCTGCCAACAAACTCATTTTTAGCCGGACTTTCGTGACGTTATGTACATTAACATTTATAAGAACAATGTTATGTTCTTGAATATTACGCTGCACTGCTTATCGCCTGGAGAATTTGTCTGTTTGAGAAGATTTGCAACACTCATGGGACTCTTAATATTAAATTGTTCTCTTAATCAGATACGTAGTAGCGTCTGTATATAAGTGCATGCGTTCAACAGAAAAAGCGGGAGTAGGCCTTGCCTTAATTCGTGTTTTGTTAAATGCAAGTTTTCCACTTAACATAGGTGTCCACTTAATGCCAGTGCCCTGTCAATACAGGTGCTGATATCGACTTCATATGGTGTCCACTTAATGCAGGTGTTCACTTAATATGGAAACTGACAGATACCCACTTAATACAATACTATAGGATCCAATTCATTAAAACGGTGTGGACTTAATATGGGATCCTCTTGATACAAATGTCTTCTTAATGTTGTACATTATCTACTAAAATCAATGGAAAATTGTGGCCCAAGATTTACCAAGTAGTGCCAATGTACTGAACGGATTATAAAAGGGGACAATAAAACCGGGTATTTTGAAACCAATTTATTTCACGCTACCTTGCTGCTAATACCTTTGTATACTATCGCATTATTCTTTTGTGGAACTGTCAAAGCTTGCAGCGATTATGTTAACAAAATAAATACATTAGATAATTGTTACATACACAAACTGTTTAGACAGGAAAAACTGAGGCGCCAATATAGGTACTCACACAAAAAGACCATTGACTATAAATGCGTTATCACTTTTGCCTAGTACACTCCTAGCTACTCCTTAGCACAAAAGTAGCCAAACAAAAACTAAGAAATTTCTATCATGTTTTAAACAGTCATAAAAAGACTAGAGCAACACGTGACAAGTAGTACTAGAATTGTCTTCATCGAAGTTTATTTTGTCTAACCGAGAGCGTTTTTATTATATTTTTTTTTTTTTCACTCACAAACCTGGAAAAATTAGCCAGTTACACACCTTGAAAGATGGCTCTGAAATTTAAATGATCAGTAGACTGCGTAGCTGACGGTTTTGTTGAACAAGAGCGGACTATGCCTCATTCAAGACACAAAATTGCGAATTCAAACTATAATTGAAGGAATCTAATCTTCTATTTCTTACGTGAAAGGCTGTGGAAGAAATAGTTTCCTTCTCAGCCTTTTTTGTGTGGTCACGCAACGTTCCTCCCCCTAAGATTTAATTTTCCAACTTTGTGGGTTTGCATTGTGCGTTCTCATTGGCTACTCGACGTCGGCCGATACCTAGCAGTCGAGCAAACAGTCAGTTTCCGACAAAACACTCAGTGTACTATGGGGAGAAGCGTTGGCTGAGCAGGCAAGCATATAGTTCAAGCTTAGAAATATAGTGCTTAGCGCAGCCAATTACATTACAAGCTTCTTGGATCTGCGGGATATCCAAAGGTTTTGCTCAGCTTCAGTGGAAGTGATCATTCCTGATCGATTAAAGTCGCAGTCCCTTAAAAAACGGGCATCATAGGTGAGTGTCCATCCCAGCGCTGTTAATTACAACCAATAGCTCCGAGAAAGTCGGTCGTTCCAGCGGGTTTGCCTCCCAGCATTTCTGCACAGCCCTCGACACACTAGCAGGGCAGTTATCAGGGTTGGTAAGACGAAGGCCATATCGGGCGCATTTCAGGACTTCGTCGTTTGACAAGTCATTATACGGCATCTTACCGGAAGAGTAAATCTCCCATACTAGAACACCGTATGACCAGACATCACTCTTTTCAGAGAAATTGTTATCAAAAATCGCCTCAGGAGGCATCCATCGGAGGGGTACCTTAACGTTATTGAGGCTGTGGTACTCGGCACTGTACACGTCTGAACTGAGCTTCAGGAAGCTTATCTTTACCTGAAGGTCTTCTGCGACCAAGCAGTTTCTCGCCGCGAGATCCTTGTGGACAAAGTTTTGCGAGCTAAGATAAGTCATCCCGGAAGCGACTTGTTCGCAGATGGCGAGTTTCTGATTTAAGTTCAGTGTGGTTTGATTATTATTCTGACATGCCAGTAATAACTGCTTTAGGTCACCCTGATAGAGAAACAGAAACCCAACAGATAAATGAGTTGAATAATAATATTCGCCCCTCTAGTTCAGTTGTTTTCAAGAAAATAGTTCTTTAGTGAGAACCTTGACATCACAAAACACCCTTCTAAGCGAAGACTAGAGGTCTCTCATGCCAAACAGCAAAAGACAAAAACAAAAACAAACAAACCAGAATCAACTCGAATATATATTGAGAAACGGAAGAAATCAATTAATACGCGGGGGAAAAACAGATCTTTTAGCTTTTAGGTTCTTACGTTATTCATCAAACTTCATGCTCTTTTACGAATTATTTTTCAACTCTGTGCATTTGCGCTTTCTCATTGGCGTCTTCGAGTCGTACGATACACAGTCAGTTCCCGCCAAAACACTTAGTGCGCATGCGGCTGGCATTGCGAAATTGATGTCAGAGGGGCAACCGTGCACACGGAGAGAGTCTGTTTCGCTTTGGATCAGTTAGTAAGCGTTAACTGAAAAATACATACCTTATTCACTGATTCAAATATCAGGTAAATGGGCTCCACCTCGTTGCAGAAGCCAAGTAGCGTGATAACATTTTTATGCTGTAATCCACGTAACGCATTCATTTCGTAATTGAACTCTTCACGCACGTTCTCGTCATCACTAAGCAACGACTTGACAACAACCGTGGTTTTATCTTCACAATCACGAATGCCAGTAGCTAGCACCAGGTAGGCTCGACCATAGGCACCGTTACCCAGGATCTTAATTAATTCCAGATCGTGTCTGGGAAACTTCATATTGTCATAGTCCGTGTGAGAAGTCAAAACACCGTTCTGCTTCTCCTTCATAACCATGTTAGTGCCGTCGACAACATGGCCGTTTGCAACTTGTTCTTCAACGTCTCCAGTAAAAGCGGCGTTGACTATGATAAAGAAGAAAAAATGCACAAGAAACTAAGTTTAAAGCCAGTGTGAAAGCCTGGTTATATGTTGTTGCAGTTATAAGATATCAAAATTAGTATTTGCTCGATTAATGAAGAGGGAAGGCTCAACAAATATGATAGCTGCACTTTTCTGTTGTTAAGTACATGATTGACATTTTTCAGAATTAGGCATACGTACTTTAGTTTACGAAAGATGCTTTCATACTTAACTGTCGTCGAGGTAGCTTTTGGAGGTACAAGCCCTTGACAATGATTTTCGAAAAAACCTCCAATGACCGTGAAAAACAATCGACGGTGACGTTATCACGTTGCTATGACAAACTCAAATCCCAGTGTCAATATAACACTGGTACAAATAAATTTTCCTCTTTACCAAATACCGCTGTGGTAACCATTTTCCAAAAACTTTGTTAGGGGTGACATAATTAATCCTCCAAACGTAGGAGGTATTGCCGCTATAATTAAAATTTCCAGGAGCCACCTTAAAAGGTACTTTGGCATGTGGAGTAAAAGTCATTATATTGCATGAGGCTTACAATGAATATTTGAATTTACTAAAATGTAAAAGAAACAGAAAATCGTTTACCATTTGCAGACGCAGGTGAAACAGACACTTTCTTCACCTCTGATTTCTTTGATGGACGCTTCGATCGTCGCCATTCGACATAGAAGCTCAGCCCGGCGACAAGAAGAAGATATCCCGATGAAACCCCAACAGCAATACCAACAGTACGCCACAGGTCTCGGCTAGAGGCTTCATCAACTGTCGGCGAATCTACAGACAACGAGAGTAGAAAAGAGCTTTGTCGCGTAATCATGTTAGCCAAGACTGACTGGCTCATTATAAATATGTTAAAGTGAATTGATTTTTTCTTTTCATTTAGAACATTTAAATAGTTCCGCAAATACAAAATAAAACATGGATGGTTAAAATTAGGAAGACTTATTAAGACATGTTGCTAACGGTTTGAAAACAATTCAGCCTGTCAATTCATTATCATCATCATCATCATCATCATTATTATTATTACTATTATTATTATTATTCGAGTCTGTTGTTAGCAACGTTAAATTACGACGTTTGGGAAACAAGTCTGTTGGCCATGAAACTGCGATTTTGCCCTCTGCGTGTTAACGTTAATTTGAGTTTTAAGCAGTGTGTAATTGACAAACCAGACAAATAATAAAATAAGCTGTCGTGGCACAGTCAGGGGAGAAAAAGTAAAATCCTGTCGTCGGAATGCCCTAGAAAATCCCCCAGCTTATCCATGACCTTGTGGTCTTACGGTTAAAAAAAAATTAACAATTTTAATTGCAGCAGCTGTATCGTTATTTTTGGTCGTGGTTTAGCTGTTTGCATGTTTAAGGATAAAAAAGAAGCTGCATGAGATCCCATTAGAAACTTACCAGTACCGTTGACCGCTGTATTATTCGAATTTTGAGGAAAAGCAGGTGACGAAGTCTCTATGACGACACTTGATTGCGAAGCTATAAGACAAAAAGGATAAAAAGGACGAATGTTATGTTTGAAAGATAGGAAGCAAGCTCAGATGGATGCAGAATAAACTTTCAGGCTCTATAGAAAACATAAAAATTTGCTCATTTCCGCACATTGTCTGACACGAAAGTGCAGGAAAATCGCTTCCCACGCGTGGCGCGCGTCTAATCGCGAGTCGACTTTCTGGCGCTCATACCATGAGGAAAGCAAAAAACTACTTACCGGTAACACTGCTAATGCCTACTCCTGGCGGTGTATTTGAGGGTTGAGGTACACTTGTTGTGCTCAGTATGGGGGACGTTGATTGTGAAGCTGTAAGTAAAATGATAGAAGGTGCAATGTTAGTAAAGGGATTACTTTAGAACCACATCGAAAATGCAATGATGTTGCATCCTTTGCTTACCTGCGAGGCCTGAGGCACTTGGCGAAATAGCATAATTGCTGGACACAGTTGTCGAGCGAAGAACTACCCTTGAAGTACTTGATACTGCAAGCGGTGAAGAAAATAATGCAGTATTAGAAACTAGGAACACATGAAAAATTCTGATGATGTTTTCATCCGTCGCTCACCTGCGGCACTTGATGAAGCAGCATTACTACTATTTGACGGGGAGGCAGCTGCACTTGAAGCTAAAGAAAAATACAGAGTTAGAAACGTGCTAGTGATCACTTATCTTATATCTTCTCGGCATTGTCAGAATCGTCTTGATATTTACCGTTGCTTTGGAGAAGGAAACACGTAAAATATACAGCATAATACAGGAGAGTCGGCATTTTGAAGACTGTGGAATTTCAAAAACTTTTTTAAAAAATCAATTAAAACCTCCAAGTAGGAAAGAATCACTGCGGCGCAGACAAACTTGTCTCTAAAATGAACTATAATGACAAACCAACAAAGAAAATCTCCTGAACCAAAACCTGTATATAAACCTAGATGTATCAGGGTGACGGCAGGCTAGTCACTTCAGGAACTCGCATTAAAATGACGAGAAAATTTGAACGGAATGACAATTATTTGGTATTTATTGGGGTCATCATTATTTACTTCCTTACCCTTAAGAAAAGTGAAATTTCAGTGGGTAAAAAGACCCAAACAATCCAGATATCATCGTAACCCTAAATTCTGACGAGACTGCAGCACGTGAATGGAGCGTGTGAGATGATAACGCGATGTAGGTCTCTCACTTTATTTTACTAGACTGATCTTTAGCTTTTCAGGAACATGTTTCATTATTTTACTGTTATAATTCCATTTTCAGTAATTAAATTAAAAACAAAGGAATTTACAGGTACAAGCAGATCTGCCACAAATAGCTGACAGCTAATTTAGGCGCTAGGAACCGGTAAAGCTTTCAAGCTTTACCCTTAAAAGGGTTATTATTTACATGTCCCCTGTTCTAATTATATGAATTAAAGGAAAAATGAGAAAAATGTAGATGGTAACAATTGAACACAGATGATTACTGCATTAATTTGACAGGATTAGTTAATGGAAGTAGAAGGCGAGGATTCAGACAATTTGTTTAGAAGAATAAAAGAATAGTCACATTACACTGACATTACGGATGTTACGTTAATTTGATGTTGAATGCAAGCTTTTTATTTAATCAGGGCGCTCGCCAATATCACCATTTAGTGCTTACCAAACAATGTATGTTGAAATCTTAAAACTGGGAATGACCATGGTTAAAACTGTATTATTTTCTTTAATTTTGCGACAATACCCCCTCGGCCTTTTCCTACTCGAGAATTAATGTTTCTGTTTCCACATAGAGGATCCGTCGACCTATCAAAAAACAGTTTATAAATATATCGTCTTTAAACCCCATCTTGAAAGGATTTTTTTGTGTGTTGAGAGAATTCAACCAATCATAAGCGTTTAAAAACAATAGCCATAGAACAGTTTACAATTCCACATGTTCCCGTATAGGATTTCTCCTTATATAGATTAAGAAGATATTTTGTTACCACTGTAGTTAGTGGGGAAACTAGAGATTAAAAGTGAAGTTTTTCGTAAATTTGGCTTTTTAAAACAATCAGAAGTATGCTACAGTCAATAGTAAAGATCGCACCTTTTTACAATTCGACATGTTGGCGGGCCGTTTGTGTAATCCTGTTAATCAGGAAAAATACTTAAAAGGCATTTTCTTTTCGACAGACATATTTAGAAAAAGCCGGTCATTCGAAAGGAGACCTTCAACCTAACACTGCCCTCGCGTGACGGAGAATGCAGAAATATACACCATGTGATATACGGAACGCAGAATGCCTGAAATCTAACCATGCACGCTGCACTGACGTGATGTTGGTCTTCCGATCTCTAATTGCCACGCGTGATCGAGGGTAGTGAATGTTGTTAGGAACATGTGATCACTGCCTATGGCATGATTTTGTAAAGTTTGTTCGTGTAGGAATACTGGGAAAGACGTGAAACAATGATTAATGTACAGCAAACCTTATGAAAAGGCCTATTTGAGTGTACTGAGCTTGAAGTCCTGTCAGATCACTGTGAAATGTGCCGTGCAAAACAAAGTGGCTTGACATTTAAGCTCAGAATTGAGAAATTATTTGGTCAATTTCTTGACAGTCTGACAAGATACATTCTTCAAAGTCAAGAGAGAATGTGTCTCTATCCTGCCAAAATACACCTTTACCATGTGGTACATACAATGCAAAAGTTGCTCCACAGGTACCCCAAGCTCACGTGTGAGAATCGCTGTTGCGTAACAAAATTGTTTGGTATAACGACGTATCCAGAAATCGCTGGAATCGCCCTCAAACGGCCAAAGATGCTATGAACAAACCATAAATAAAAAGGGAGACAAGGTAAGAAGTTCGGATGTATTTTAAATGTTATTAAATAACGATCGTCGTCAAGTCCCCATACCAACCCTTATTGGAAGTTCTGTTACCAATGGTTACGCAATGATTCTCACACGTTTGGGGTACCTGTAGCTACTCGCTCACCAGACGTGATGCTATGCTGGTCTCCCGATCTCGCGTGATAGACAGTAGCATCACGTGACATAATGTGATAGTTGCTCATAACATTACGTAACAAGGTTTGTATGCGTATGGAATGCAAAACCGTAGACATTCAGTAATTTGACAGATCACTGCAAAATATGCCATGCAAAACAAAGAAACTTGGCCTTTCACTTAAAATGCATTTGTTTTACACTCCTGAACAGTTTAAGAGCACTCTAGCAATGAAAATCAGTTGCCAAAGCGATGTAACTGAAAGGACTTTCAATTTAAGGACTTTAAATCGATTTCTTTTTCTAGGATCGAACTAAAAGACGAAAACGATTATGAAAAGTCAGATGAATAAGCTTGCTACTCTGATCTGCTGATGTACTTGAGGTCTAAGTGTCCGATAAGTGGTTTACTGTGCGATTTATGAAAGTCAGTTTGATTCACTTTCAGACGGTGTATGCTCGAATGTTTCTGTTTCTGTTAGCGTAAAAACGTACCAAATTTAGCCGCCGAAAACGTAATATTCTCAATTTATACTAATCATTAATCATACAGACAGTATGATCAGAGAGACAATTATTAATCTTTGTTGATTGTTCATCTTTTTTTCAATTCTGAACTAATGCTTATTGGATTTATTTACAACGCCAATCACGGGACAAAAATTGCTTTTGACCACTTGATTGACTTAAAAGATGTGACAAAGTCGGAATGCAACATGTACAGGCATCAAAGCATTAAAAGCTATCACTGAAGATGCTAGAAAGAGTCTAATGTTTAGCACGTCAAAGATATAATACCTTTGACGCACATTAAAGGTACCTTTGCACAACCCTAAATCATATTAGTAACAACTTTACTATATCTTTCAGGCGACATAAAAGTACTCTTTAAGACATATTTGAGACATTTGTGCATTTCACGTTGTTACGTAACGTAATTGATCAAGAATTCTAAATTTATAAGGGTGATGAATTAAACTCTTAAATTTTGACTTCCGCTCACTTTTTTCATATTAGACATGTCCGTCATTTTCAAAAAAATAGCACAAAAAAATGCGAAAACAAAAAGAGGAAAAGAAACTGAGATAGATGATATGGAAATATCATAAAAATGCATGAATTTCTGTGGTATGTTCTAATTACATAATAATCAATCACACAGAGGTAACAGATGTAAAATTGAAACTTTTTAAGTTATCGTTTATTGGTATACCTATCCTATTTTTCCATCTCCTTGTTTCTTGTTGCTTTTTTTTGCCAGATATAAAAGATATGAAATTCTTGTAGATTATTCAGCGCTCTGGGCATCTAAAATATGCATCTAACGACGTAGCTTGCATGCAAAAAAGAAAAGTGAAAAGCAACTTAAGTTTCAGAAAACTGATGTATCAGAAACTGACATTCTTGTAAGTAAGGAAAAGTTTACCACATCGATTTGAACGTAAATGAAACTCAAACTCAACGTTTTCTTGGAGCCAAGCAAAATAAAAATCGTCAGTTTTTGGTTTCTTTGGGTGAGAAATTGAGGGGTGAAATTATACCTCAGTTTTCAACAAAAGTAGCCAATTTCATGACTTCTTTGCGGTGATGAACTCGTGTGTTCGAAAAGGGAAAAATTAGAAGGCTGTTTTACAAAACGTTTTTTACACTCTCCTCATTCCTAAAGACAATTATGAAGACTTTTGATATAGTTCTAGCTTTTCAGTATGTAAAGAAAGATCTAATTGAAACCTATTAAGAAAAGCGGATTTCACGTGGTGAATGTTTATTTTTCACTGCTTAAGAAAATAAAACTTGTAATTTAAGTTTGACGCGGGGCACTGTTGGACGGGAGGACTTTAAACGGATGTAAACTTACCTAAAAAGGTGAAACATAGCCAACTCCCAATGAAGAAAAATCGAAGAGGCTGTCTCTTTAACTGAAAGTGTTGTTCCATGTTGTCTTGAAGAGAAATAAACTCTCTATCTACACGGAAATCGACTCAGGTTGAAAGCTACTGGTTCTTTTTAGGTCTTTGGTGCAACAACAACGGTTGTCAACGCAGGTATGGATGCGATAAAATCTCGTCCCTGGAATATATCTTAAAAATGCAACGTGAGCTCCATAGTGCAATGGACTATGGATTTTTAGCTCGGTATCAATTTTGGATGTGTGCCGGCAGACAATAGTTGCATGTCTTGCAGAAGGTACAACAAATGTGAACAATGTATGATAACTGACGTGTGCACGTGCATTAAACCAGAAGAATCTAAAGCAAATTTTTCGCTTTATTGACAGAGTTGAAGACAAATTGGATGACAGCTGACACTTTGATTGTTCAACCGTTCCCTATGATCTATTAAATGATTACTTTGCTGAAGGGTCTGGTCCTTAGGCGGTCAAAAGATCCTCTTAGCCATATCCGGTCTATAACACTAATTCTTCTTTTTACTAACTTAAAGAGTCACGAATGTCACCTATATATTAAGAAGTACAATGCAGTATTTATAGAACAAGTAAGCTAAATAAAAGTTCTGTTGGTCTCTTGGCCCGTGTCACTGTAAATCTTGATGAAAAATGTACCTCGTCAACACGGTGTATTAGCCTAATTTTACACTCCAAATATCCCGACGCAAGCCCTGAAGCGATTTCCAGGAGAGAGTTACAAATGTAGGGACTCCTTTCACACAATGCAAAGTAGAATGCGACTGACAGCTCCGAATCAGAGGTCAAGAGGATATAAAGTCATCTATTTTGCCATAAAACCTTTAATTTCAAGGGCCTTTGTTCCCTAAAAATAACTCTGATGTTGCATTGAACACTTGCCAAAACTGCATCAAAGAACACACGAACTACATATTTTATGGTACAACTGGCCAATCAAAGTCGATCTATTCTGCAATGCGCTTGTCACGATCACAGCAAAACTGCAAAAAAAAAATTCTTGTGCAAAAAAGCAGATGTGTTGTTAAAAGAAGAATGGACAGGGGGCAAAGGAAAAAAAAAATTGTTCATATGATGAAAAGTAAAAACTCTTCATGAAGCTACAACCGAAAAACAAGACTTAATTGGCTTTAATGAAAAACGCCTTATTTGCAAGCGAGCGAGCTCTCCATATCGTGAGAAGTTAGTCACGCGCGAGGCTACAGCCTTATTGAACTTTTTCGCTGAATTGTGAGTCACTCACAGGCGTTTCCCAGGGTTAAAGAATCACGAGTGGAAAGCTCACTTTTGATACGATATCCTTTAAAAATTGCTACAGTGTTACATCACACAGTGGATCACGCGAGTAGCCACGCCAGCGTGCCATGTAGATATGTCGAACATTTTGAAAGCCGTAAAAGTACGATGAAGTTACATAACGCGGGGTCACGGAATAATGTGGACCATAGTCGACGAACAGAAAAACATTGTTATCACCTAAGAAAAATTATCAAGCTTAAAGAACGTTTCAGTACAGCTGGTGCAAACTGAGCAAGATTTTTGCCACTATGAGCTAACCAATCACAATGGAATGCCAACAACAGCGCTTCAAGGCAAATAGCGTCTGTTGTATCTTGTTCCTTTTCAGTAGGGGGAATTAAATCAAAGACAACGTCCTGATATGTAGCAGAGGGGGAAACGCCCAGAGGACGAGACACAGGCAAGGTAAGACGTCTCAGTTTTAAAATAGCTCGTTTTCCAACCCCCTAAAAAAGAAAAAATTCATTCAAAGCAAATTTAGGTCTTTTGCGAGAAGGATTATCAGGCAGCGAACTAACGCGGTACCTGTAAAATTTTAGTTTCTTCAGTTGGGACATATAGTAACCATCTTTGTGGAGGGGCGAGTGACTTATATTTGAATTTCATTCCATCTTTTGTGGGAGACCAATGACACATACTCTATGGCCGAGAGACCTCCCCTATTTTCTTTGTTTCACAATTTTTCTGCCTGAAACCGGCACAAAGAAATTCAATGGACAGGGGTACGACGTTCACATAGACACCGTATGACATCAGCCGAGGTTCTCATGTTCAGCTAAATATGTAATGGTCTTCGGGCAGCAAGGTCACTATATGGACACTATTTTTGATACGTCAGTCAAATGATGGAATCCTGGCCCATCGACCCAGCCCTCGGGGCATAGAGAGGAGGGCCGATGGACGGGGAAAATAAAAAACAACACAAAACAAAACAAACAAGCAAAACAAACAATCGTTTCAGCCTTAGCCATTAAACAGTGATTAAAAGTTTTTTTTAGCAATACGCGTTCGTCATATTTGGTAAGGCTTCTGTAAGAGTCTCTTCTCAAGTCCCACTCTTCTCTCTTAGTACTAAAACATGTAACAGGAAACGGTGGGGAAAAAAACGAGCATGCTGAGAATCAAAACAAGAGAAGCGGGAACAAAACCTAACTTGAACCACATTCCTTTTACATTACTTTCATTTCATAGGTCTCAAATCGATGCTTTTACAGGACGATTGAGCGCAATTTCAACTGTCGGAAGCGGGGGGGAGGGGGGGTGAAAACTCGCGCCGTAGACGTTAGTTTTATGGTGTGGTCTGGGGGCATCGTCACCCAGAAAATTTTGAAATCTAGAGGTTCTAAAATGGTATTTTAAACATTCTCAATGAGATATTTTTCTAAAACAACTCAACCTGGATAAGGTGTGAAATGACAGGTACTTTGAGTTCGTGGAAATTTAAACTGCAAACGATCGCAAACGAATATGCCGCAGAACATAGGATCTACAGAAGACCTGGTCAGCAAATACAAACACCGAGTAGACACATCGAATTCTGCAAAGCTGATCGAACAAGGTGAAAATTAACTTTGCAAGACATCAACACTACACCGAAAGAACTCAAAACAGAGCGGGATTGTAGCCATAGACAGCTGTTTCAAAACAGCTCTTGACTTGGAACACATATCACTAGTGATATGTGTTCCCTTATAGCCTGGAAACACGTATCACTAGTGATATGTGTTCCAAGACTGGCCACATATCACTAGTGATAGCTGTTCCCCTACCTGAGAAACCCATATCACTAGTGACATGTGTTCCACTAACCTGGAAGCCCATGTGTTCCCCTAGCCTGGAAACACATATCACTAGTGATATGTGTTCCCCTAGCCTTGAAACACATATCACTAGTGATATGTGTTCCCCCTACCTGGGAAACCCATATCACTAGGGATACCACATTTTAAATTCAAAACAGTAAATTGATCCTTAAGGCAGGAAGAGTGAGGGGGGGAAATAAACAAAGAAAACAAAGATAAAGTGGTGAATTATATTTGCCCCATATTTCGGTTTGCAACAAAACCTTCAACGAGGGCTATAAGAGAAAAATGAATACAGATAAAAGATGAACGTTACACATGCGAGATTTGAATACATAGGAAATTGAAAATGATAGGCTACTAAAAAGATCAATGTCACTAATTAAGTTCATAACTAGGGATAGTCTAGAAAGGCGTTTTTTCTTTTCAGAACTAGTAAAACACATTTTCTTGGGCTATTTTGCCTAAAAAAAACGATGGAAAAATTGCCAATTTTCACCAAAACCATGGACTAACCCCTCTGGAAACATCCCCCATTTATCAACTATTAGAGAGTTTTGTTTTTATAGCCTAGAAAGGCGTTTTTTCGTTCTAGAATATCGTAAAACACATTCTCCTGGCCTATATTGCCTAAAAGAAAAAGATGAAAAAATGGCAATCTTTTAACCAAAACCATGGGTTAACCCCTCTGGAAAAATCTCAATTTATCGACTTTTTTAACTTCTTGTTTTTATACCCTAGAAAAGCGTTTTTTCGTTCTAGAATATCGTAAAACACATTTTTCTGGCCTATATTGCCTTTAAAAAAAGATGAAGGTGTTAACCCATGGTTTTGGTCAAGAAATGGCCATTTTTCTAACTTATTCTTTCAGGCAATATAGGCCAGGAAAATGTCTTTTACGATATTCTTGTACGAAAAAACTCATTTCTAGGCTACAAAATTAAGAACTTGAAAAAGTCGAAATATTAAGATTTTTCCAAAAGGGTTAACCCATGGTTTGGGTCGAGAAATGGCCACTTATCCATCTTTTTTTTTTAGGCAATATAGGCCAGAAAAATGTCTTTTACGATATTCTAGAACAAAAAAATGCCTTTCTAGGCTATAAAGAAAAGAAGTTTAAAAAGTGGAAAAATTGACTATTTTCCAAAGGGGTTGACCCATGGTTTTGGTTCAAAAATGGCCATTTCTCCAAGATTTTTTTTTAATGCAATATAGGCCTTTAAAATGTCTTTTACGATACTCTACAACAAAAAAACGCCTTTCTATGCTATAAAAACAAGAAGTTCAAAAAGTCGAAAAATTAACTATTTTCCAAAGGGGTTAACCCATGCTTTTGGTCCAAAAATGGCCATTTTTCCAACTTTTTTTTTTAGGCAATATAGGCCAGGAAAATGTCTTTTACGATATTCTAGAACCAAAAAACGCCTTTCTAGGCTATAAAAACAAGAAGTTGAAAAAGTCGAAACACTGACATTTTTCTAAAGGGGTTAACCCATGGTTGTGGTCCAAAAATGGCCATTTTTCCAACTTTTTTGGGGGGGGCAATATAGGCCAGAAAAATGTCTTTTACGATATTCTAGAACAAAAAAATGCCTTTCTAGGCTATAAAAACAAGAAATTTAAAAAGTGGAAAAACTGACACTTTTCCAAAGGGGTTAACCCATGGTTGTGGTTTAAAAATGGTCACTTTTAAAACTTTTTTTTTAAGCAATATAGGCCTTTAAAATTTCTTTTACGATATTCTAGTACAAAAAAACGCCTTTCTAGGCTATAAAAACAAGAAGTTCAAAAAGTCGAAAAATTGACATTTTTCAAAAGGGGTTAACCCATGGTTGTGGTTTAAAAATGGTCATTTTTAAAACTTTTTTTTTT